AGGTGCAGTTCAGTCTTGAACTTGAGCAACTGTACCAGGTATTTTAGCTGTTGCTTATTTTTTGACAGAAGATGTAAGGTTACTCCTCCTTTATCAGGTTAAGTCACTTCTTAATGTCTGAAATGCACTAAAGCCTACTCAGACAAAGCACTCCCTGTATTTATGAAGCAGACTTTTTCCAGAGCCAAGAAAGTAACAGGTTTGATATTATTTCTTCAAAACACGAGCAGCAATTGAATTGTTTCATAGGCTTATATTACCTGCCAATTTTCCTTTGTTTGAACTAAGGTTGGTTTATAATTATATCAAGGGGATAAAAATTGTTCCCAGGCTGAAAGTCAGTATGCCAAGTTACAACCCAGAGCAGGCTTTTGTCAATAAATTTTATGCAAACTTGGAAAAACAAGTTTACAATGGAAACACTGACAGAATTTGAGCTATACCAGAACCAGTAAGTTACTGCTTTAAATGGGTTGGAATGATGAGGTTGTTAAACTGGAACACCTTTATGAAAGCGACACATTGATGACAGTTGCTGCAAGTTTTGGCAGGAAGAACTGGGTCTAGCTGAAGAAAATCATTACTAGCGAGTGTGGGGGAGGGCCCTGTGCCCAGAGAGATCTCTTTGGAGGCCTTGCATGGCTGATGTGCACACCAACGTGTGTCAGCCAGAATGGACTTAGGGCTTTGGTGGCAGGCTGGCCATACAGCAGGTGATGTCTCTGAAGAGCCTCTTCCATTAAGTACAGGTTTCAGATGCCAGAATTGCATCTCCTTGCACTTAGAGCTGCTGTTTGTGCAGGATTTGGGGTGTCCTTACACTCCTCCAAGTATGGATCAAAATCTGTATACATGCTCAAGGTGGGCTTTTTGACCAGATTTGTAGTTCCAGTGCTGCTCTCTTACCAAGACCATGCATTAGAAATCCCACAGATACACATTTTAAATGAAAAGTTGTAGTGATCGCAGTGGTGGTCATACATTTTTCCTTGTTGCTTTTTTTTGCAGGAGAATTTGCTAAATTTCCTGAAGTTGTTTTATTCTGAATAATTCTGGTTGTGATAGATGTAATAGCAAAAACACAGATACTTTTATTTGTATATAATTTTAGAGGTGTAATGTTTCATTTTCACAGACCATCATCTGTTGGTATACCAAGTTCGATACCTTCTGATTTTTATTTTTTTAGTATTTTTGTCAAGGCAATCTAGGTTCACTTCAAGGAATTTTTTTTAGGGCTAAAAGACACTCAAAGATTATTAACAGTTACTGTTCTCAAAAACACTATGTATTTATGCACCTCAGCAGGATTTGGTACCTGACAGAGGTAAATGTGTAGTGAAGGAACAAGGACAAAAGTAATTCTGTAAAACATGTGATGTCTCTTTGTAGAGTTTTTTCAGCCTAAGTTGGTAAATAATTATCACCAGTAATACCTGAACAACTTCCTTACATCAGTGGGTTGGTGATCTGTTTGATTTTGAAACTGCTGGCTTAAAACTGGTCAGCTGAATCACAAGAATTCTGTGAACTGTTAAGCAAAAGCCAACCAATTAACACTGCTAGCTGTTTTTAGCATCCGTACAGTCATCTGAAATGCGACTCTCCAGTGTTCAGCTTTGTCTGCACACTGAAGAACTAGAGTGTGTGCCTCAACCTTCTGACACCATTTCCAATCTCTTTGTGTCTTCATTCGGCAGCACTCTTCCCTGCTGTGACTAGCAGACGTGGGGGCATTTCTGCCTTGTATTGCCTTTGTGTGCTTATTAAAAAAGAATCAGCAAATCTGTTGAGTGCATGTTTAATGTAACACAGATGTGGGCACACCACCGTTCATTCTGCTTTACAAATCTTCAGCTTTTTGTATTTCATCAGTGTTGCTTATTATTTACAGAATGTAACCTGAGACAGTAGAACAAATTTTTAGATTAAAAAAATCAAGTTGTGTGGAATGTTTTCAGCTGTCCAGACCAAACAGGCCAGTTTGCCAAGGGGCTGATGGACTAAATCAAAGCAATTTATGCTAGCTCTAGTGGCACTTAGTTGAAAAGCAGCTGACCTTCTTATCACCAAGATGAGAATTGGCTTTTATCACCAGGACGAACATTTTAGCAGGGAGGAGCATTGGGGACAGTAAGCATTGTCCTCTGAAGTACTTCTTCCATTTTAAATCAAAACCTAAAAACAACCCACACCCAAACCCACAACTCAGAAATTACCAGGCCTTCCAGAAATTCACTGTGGTGCCTAGTACTTTTATAGTACTAGTACTTTCTATCTGACCTGCTTCTAAGCCAGACATTAGAAACCAGAGTTCACTCATGGTCTGGTTTCTGCGGAAGAGGTCCGATTAAAAGGCCCTATTCTTTCCTCGTTGTTGCAGTAGTCTTGCTTGCAGTCCTTCAGATACCTCTTCTCACACTACTACACACTAGATAGCACAGCTGAATGTTTATCTGAAAGCTGGTTAATGTAAAAACCATTATGCAGTGTTGTTGCTCACTCTCATATGGATGGTTATCTAACTTTCCTAACTGTGTAACAGGAAAGTGTCTAAATAGTTACTGATTGGCCAACAGTTAATTAAAAACTGTACATTACACTTCAGACACTCTTTAAACTTGTCAATAGAAGCTACACGTGCTGTAGAGAAGTTTAGCCAGTGGGGGCTTCCTGGAAAAGTGAAATTTTTCCATTTTGATGCTTTTGCAAGTAGGACAGACAGCAAGGTGTTAATTTCACTGGTTGGAACGCTTTCATTTCTTTGGAACTTACCTCAACATTCTGCATTTTTGTTTACTACTTTGTAATCCAATAGGTAAAAATGGGCACTTATTTGTTCAGCTCTGGTGTAGGTTTAGAAAGGTAACAATACTGTCATGTAACTGCACCTGGTACAGAGGAATCCTGTTTATATCTAAAAAATCTAAGGGCCAGGAGAGGTGACTTGCTCCAGGGTCGTAGGACTTAACAGTGAAGTTCTAACCACTGCATACAGCTGTTACTCAGTGGAATAATTTTAAGTCATACATAGGTTGTGGAAGTCCTCTATTTACCTAATGTTTAAGTTACTCTGATTCATAAAAATGCTACTATTGGAAGAATACGGTTTTAAGACGCTGCACTTTTTGCAAATGAGGAAAACTAAGTACCTTTATGCACCAACTAGCAATTTTCATACTGGCATTTTTTAGCTTGGGTGCTAATGAACGTCTAACCAAAAGTGAAAGCAGTGCAGCAGGACAGGTAAAGCAGTGAGAACATCTGTCAGCAGAGGTAAAACGGAAAATTTGGCTGGTAACATTTTACTGGCACTATTAGTGACAACGTTTGTTATGGTTTCTTTAGCCCCTGCTCTGTTTCACGTTCTTTTAGTTGGAGAATTTCCACTCTTCGTTTCATCCTCCCTGCTGACAAACTGACTTTCCATCTGAGCATAGCCATAGTTCAGCTGAAGTGAAGTCAACAGCATTCTGTCTCTACTTAAGTTTCTCTCAAAGAGGATCAGTGAGAAGCACTACTTCTGAGCCACTGTAGCTTGTTATGCAGGTCAGGGATGTAATGATCTCATGAACAAAATCAGAATGGTCTTAATGTATTAAAAATATAAATGGGCTGATGTTTTTCTCTGCTGTGCTGGAAAGCCAGTATCTTTGGCCTCTATACCTTCTTTGCAAAAGACGCTGATACCAGACAATGACAGCCAAAACACACAGAAAGGCCAGTCACCCAGTGGGGAAGCAGCAAAGATGATACCAAGTCATGAATGCCATGTAAGAGATTCTGTTCCCGTAACATTTACTGCAGCAAAGAAGGGAAGGGGCAAAACCCAATGTCTGTCACCACTAAAAGGCAAGGGTGTCAAACAGTCAAAAGAAACCAAATTTTAAAAGGGTGCATGGGTTTCAAGTTTGGGACAGGACTGCTGAAAGGGAAAGGTAACAAAGAAACAAGACTCCAGAGAAAACATCTGCAGAAAGCAAAGCTTAGAAGGCAAGTACTATTGTGTGCTATTGCCAAGCAGCTTAAAAAGAAAACACATTGTTATATGGGATTTTTTCTCTGTCTTTTGATCAAACAGGATAGAAGCAGGTCATTGTACCAGGATCTTTACAAGCATCAAGATGGGAAATAGAGAGCACTAATCAAAAATGGTGCATTTGGCTTGGAAAATTACTAACAGCAGTAGCCTGAAAGATGCGAAAAAGCATGCAGCAGACCCAGAGTGATGCTGCTGGGAAAGGATGGAGAAGAAAGCAGGGCTAGTAGGCAGCCTGTAACTCAATTCTTCAGGGGCAGGGCATTCCAAAAGCTTAGAACAATTCAGAATACTATTTTTTAACAAAATACTGCTAAGGGAGGAACCTAGCCTGCAGTTCTTTAGCACTGTGGCCAGTATCAACCTCTGATGTCTGTTAGGCCACACCTGTGTGTCTTTTATTACTGGCATTTTTTAATAGACCCTCAAGAAAAGTAAAGTATGCTAAACCCTACTACTGAGACTCTAATTAACTAAGTGTAATTTATTTTTCTTTTGTCTTAACTGCATGTGCCTATTTCCATAACCTTTCAATTTTCAAACTCCTGACACTGTCCATCAGTGAGCTCTATCTAGGTTGACGCACTCTTCTGTAGAGAGGAGCGAAGAAACAGTCAAATCTGTAAAACTCTGCTGATAAATAGATCCCAAAATCTGCAGACAGTATGCTCAGTTTAGGTTGCTCTTCCTCCTATTTATTTAGCACACTGCCCCTTAATTGTAGAGGAAAACTGGGAGACATTTCTTTGAAATGTAAAACTATATGAATATAGACACCAGGTCTTCCAGATCAAGTACTACAGAACCTATGGGCTGTATTTGTGAAGGCCTTGTATTTGTAAAGGCTTTGACACACCTCGTATTTCAAATCAAACACAACTTTGTGTGCTGGCAGGTTTAAGTGGAAGGAGGAGTGCTGCTGTTGCACTGCATCATTTCTCTGCATCTATTTTGTATGCAGGACACAAGCGGAGAGAGTGAGAAAGCCACGCTGCTGTAGAGGACCTCAAGGGCTCTTGCCCCGCTACTTAGAAAGTCAAGCAGAAGGCCAAGAACAGCTGTTCAAACTGACTGACAACATCCAAGATGAGTTGTAAGTACTTACAGTTACTTTAAGCAGTTCTGTTTGCTGCCACTGTATCTTCATGTCTTTGGGGAAGAGGGACTAAAACTGCTTTACACGCCACACGTGCGTGCGCACACATGCACATACGTTGCATTTGTTTTCTCTTGGTACCGATTAGCAGCTCAGCACGAGCACCTGCTGACTTCCACAGTGGCCTGCCCACCGGCTGCAGGTGCCACGGGGCTCCTTTGGTTCGCTTGTTGCTAACTGCCACTGATCGCACGTCACATACAGGCTGTGGAAGAACTGGAGCCTTCTATCATCACAAAAGATGAAATCTCAGTAAATTTCTAAATAATCATTAGTCCATTTAACATGCATAATACATGTCCAACTCCCCACACGTACTGATGAACAAGTGCGTGTTTTCACCCTGGACTCTTCTTCCTCTGTAACGTGCATGCAGGCAGAACTAGTACCTCTTCCCGTGTCTGTCCCTTACTGTCCATTCCTCACAGCCCAAGGCCTAGTAGAGTGGGTAGTGATTGCTTGGCAGCAGTACATGAACCACCGCTGACCTGCACAGAGCGTGCTCTTGAGCTGGCTCTGGGTTAGAAGCTAACTTGGATGCCCGTGGTACATGTTATTCCTAAGCTACAGTTGTTAACAACCAAAATCACGTGCAAATTTTTTTTTTCCCTCCACTCCGAAAACTCAATACTGAATAATTTACATGGATAATACACTAAAAGCACATATACGTTTGAATGCCTTGGATATGGGTTCAGGAAAGCAAGTGAAAAGAGCGTGTAAATGTTACTAGTGGTCAAGTTTGAGAGAATGACAAAACCCGCGTACAGAGTGAGCACATGCAAAGATAGCTGTACATTTGTTTCTACAGAAGATGTCAGTTTGTTGGGTTCGGGTCTTAAGGCATAATTCATTACTGAACCTGATTTCTACCACAGTTACCTGCACAGCTGCTTCCAGTGGAGTGTAAGATGCTGTGTTTTACATCTATTATCCATCACAGTAGTTAGAACTGCTGATGGTGAAGCTACCAATTCAGCAAGGTATCTTATTTCACCAGTGTCAATGATCTAGCTTCAAAGCCATGTGCCACTCTAATTCTGCCTTCAGCTACCTGGGAGGAAGAGTTTGTAATCTGCCACTTGCAGCCCTGTGATCTTACACTCTCATTATCATTTTCATCTCATTTAAGGGTCTTCATGCATATACAGTCTGGCTTTTAAGTAAGGAGAATTGAAAGAGAGCAATCTGTGACCAAAAAAAAATTGTCAATTCTTTGCAAGTGTACCCCAGAAGCAGATCAGTGGGCTGTTGTCATTGAGTCACACTGTTCAGTCACTGTGACTTTCACCATCAGGAACATCATTCAGCAAGAAAACAGTGTTTCTTGTCATGGAAAATAGGTACAAAATTATGCCTCTGACTCTTATCCTAGTATCATAATCAGAAACACATTTAAGGACCTGATTATTTGCATATTTTCCTTCAGAGTTAAATCCATAAAAGGGGGTTTAATACCTTGCTCTACTGTTCTAACTAAATGTTTCCACATTTTTTTCCAGTTAGGCTCACTGTTTCACTTCTGGAAAATATTGTGTAATTACTTCCTGATGTTGTTAAAAAACCCACAAATTCTCCAGAGGTCTGGTTGCTTCTACTTTGTTCTACTGGATCATGTTTCATTTAATTTTTCATTTTACTAATTTGAGATCTTTTTAATAGTGTGGAAGTATGGGTTTAAAAAAAAAAAGCAGTATCTTGAAGTAGTATCTTAAAAGGTTAAATACTCATTCTGAGAACTAGACAGAGAGAAGAAAGTAACAGTTGGCAAGAGAAAATGGGTAATGATGCATGATGCAAACTTAGAACAAAATGTAGAGCTCGAACTACAAATTAGCTAATGTTTCTGTGCCTCACCATTAAATCACTGACCTCTGTTTCCATTCCTCAAAATATATACATGTAATCACTAAAAATCTTGTATGGAAAATTAGATATATAATGTGGTGTTCTTATGGAGAAAATACAAACCCATAGTCTGATTACCCAGACGCCTCTACTCAACTTTGTAGTAGCTTTTAGTGCTTCAGTTCTCTCCGCAGATGCCCCCCATACAGTGGGCTGTAATACCATACATCAGGAAAGGGCTGTTCTGCTTTTGTGGGTATACAAAACCTTCTCAAGTTTCTCAGCTTTGCTGTGACAATTGCTAAGGATGGTGCTAATGCTATTAGGGGTTTCTGATAATCACCTTTTAATCTTCTTTCCCCACTCGAACAGAAGCAAAGAACACCAATGTGCCAGCAAGTTTCCTTTGGTTCTGCTTCTAGTGGAAGTCTGACCTGAGTCAAAGCTCGGATCTCTGTAAAATATTGTACTTGCTTTCATGTGCAAGACAAAAAACCTTACCCTGATGGAAGACCGAGGGGCAATTGCTAGTTTCAGTAAAGGTGCTAACAGTGTCTTTCACCTAGTCTCTTTTAAGCTGAAATACACATTTTTGTCTGTTTTGTTTTACTCAAAGCAGCACAATTCAGTTATCCTATCCCATAGTTTTATCCAAGGGTAGAGCTGGGCAAAGTACATTACAGGCTGTGCTCTTCTCAGCACTTAAAATGTAAGTTGTTAACTTGAATAAGTGTGTACGCCTCTCCCAAGTTTAGGGAAGGCATTTGTCAGCTGACATGGCTAGGAGGCATAGGGCAGGGAAAAGACAAGTTCAGTGCAGAATACCATCTTTCAGGGGACTATTACTGGAAATATTTTTCTATACCGCAAAACGAAACCGTGATCTGAACTCTTGAAATATTTTTGGCTATTTAAATTCCATTTATAGCTATGGGTTTATTTGGATATAGCTCAGTATAATTTATGCAAAGTGTTAGTTAAATGGTAGAGCCAACAGTAGTTTTGAAGATGCTAAGCTTTTCTGATCTACCAAGAACTTTTCGTACTGACAGTCGTCACTGAGTTCAAAGACAGTGGAGTATTTTGCAGAATGTACTAGGACAACAGCAGACAGATTGGTACAAGCAACAGTTCAGAAAACAGTAATTTTGAACCTACCTGACAGCATGAGAATCTTAGTTTTACAGATGTGCCGCTACTGTTCTGGCTTGTTCACAGAGCATTATTACTCTAGAACTCTTTTTTAATTATGTACTCATATTTCATTTTCTGAATTTTTCAGCATTTTAAAAAACCCACTAATGAGGTTCATTTCAGTAGTACAGCAGAAGTTGGGGAGAAGTGTTTGTGTGTGAAATACCTATTTCACTTTTGCATTCCTTACTGCTAGTTTTTTACACATCAACCTTTTCAGCCATCGTAATTCTCAATATTCTTCTTAATTCACTCTTTTCTACCGCCACTATTCATCACTCAAACTAATCTCTCTGGGGAAACCTGCTTGCTGCTTAACCTTTCACCCCAGTGTTAAACAGCTAATTTCTCTTTTCTAGCTACTGATCCAGGCAGCAGGTTAAGCTTGTTTTTTGTTTTTAAAGGACAAGGGAGGTGTGTGGTAAAAGGAAGCTCAGGAGGTTTACAGTGTGTAGAAGGATAATGCTCTTGTCATAAATGTCTGCAAACTTTTCATGTACCAGCAATGAAACTGAACCTAAAATTAAACTTCAGTATTAGGGCTTGCAGTGTACCAGTGCAAGGAAATTACTCTTCTTAAGCCTTGTTAAAGTATATATTTATATGTCCTTTTAATGTCCAAAGAAGCCAGGCATTTAGAGCTAATATTTGATTTACAGCATGATCTTTTTTAAATGGGTGAGAGAGTACTTCATCAGCTTGATTTTTAGAATAATTTAAATTAAAACCAGATGAATTGTACGTGTTACGCTATTGATTTTTCTGAAAGACTTCTAAAGGTCACTGAAAACATAACAGGTGAAGACATTCATTAGTTTAGTATTTTTAGCTTCAAGTGAGTAATTTTTCTTTTGTTCTTTTTTGCAGCTTCATTGCAGTGGAGAACATAGACAGCTATTGTGTTCTCATTTCGTCTAAAGCTGTTTATTTCCTGAAGAGTGGTGACTACACAGACCGCGAGGCCATCTTCCTAGAAGTCAAGTATGATGATCTCTACCACTGCCTTGTTTCAAAAGACCATGGGAACGTGTATATACAGTTGACGAAGAAAGCTGTTAATACAAGCAGTGGTGTAGCAATGCCAGGCCCATCACAACAAAAACCAATGGTAAGGATCTAGCACCTCCTTGTTTCATTCATGCGGAGGTTTCTTTTCTTTTCCCCTTTATGCGCGTACTCGGCTGAAAGTGTTTGTAGTCATTAGTGTTTGTTTCCTGTGCTGCATAACAATGAAAACTTTGTTCTGTCAGCAGTGAAAACAGCTGCTGCCGAAAAGGTTTAGGTGACAGTAGAACTTACGCCCTAAGCTCCTGAGAAAAGCTGAAGGCAAAATCTAAAATATTCCTGCAGGCAGGAAAGTTACAGTAGGCAGCATGTATTAACCTAAGAAAGGCTTTAACTTTACAATACATACATGAAACTGAAGTACTTTGCTGTCTATTTAGTCTTCTCTTCTCCTCCCATACATAGTATTTTACTGCAAGGTATCTAAGATTGCAAAGAGTGCTTATGTCATGCATGTAAAAATAAATCAGAACTCTCACTTCTAAAACCAATTACAGGGTTTTTTTGCTTCATTACAGTAGTTGCTCAGGGGTCTGTTTTACAGGCAAGGTTACAAGCTCACCCTTGACCCAAGTCAGTTTACATTCCAAACAGATGAGCCAGATAAAAGGTAGAAGGGAAAGCAAAGAAAGTAACTTCAAATATTGCAAGATGTTTCCGCTCTCATCCTAAAATGCCCATCTCTATTAACCTGTCTCTCCCTCTCTCACTTACTTCAGCCTCAGCACTGGGGAGGAACCTCCACTGAAACATTTCTGTTCATTATAGGAGACTTCAAACCTAATCCCTTCAGTTAGTGAAGTAATAAAAAATAAATATATTCTGCTTTAGAGGACAGCAGTACCACATTAAGAAAAATCACATTTCTTTTTGCAGGTGAAAGTGAAATCTGAAGTTCTTGCAGTAAAGCTGTCTCAAGAAATAAACTATGCAAAGAGCCTTTATTATGAACAACAGCTTATGTTAAGACTCAGTGAAAATCAAGAACAATTAGAGCTGGACTCTTGAAACCTCTTCCTTACTGCCAGAGTGAAGTGCAAGTATCAGTCTGGAGCTGATGGTATTCTGTAACTAGAGAAAGTACTGCACGGGAAAGAAGTATGATTTTAGGATTTAGCTAAATGGAATCATTGTGCATAAGAAAACAAGTGAGGTGGGCTCTTTTTTTTTTTTGAGCATTAGTTGTACAACAAAGATACAGCTGAAATGCATTTAGTTCTGGGAGAAGCCCTGTATTTTGCTAACATGTATATATGTAAAAGTGTTTCATGTAAATAAGAAAGTACAGACCAGGGTGTTTGGTATAAATAGAAGTCTGTTTACTGTGTAAAGAAATTAAAGGAGCTATACTGAGTCTTACTGCACTGCCTGAAACTAGCCATTCTCTCTCTCTCTTCTTTTTGTTGAGAAAGCTGATTTTCACAGTGCAGGGATGTAGATAAAAGTTTAAAAAATAAAATAAAATTAGGAGTTAATTGCAGCTGTTGGAGCACGGACATCCTGTAGTATGGAGCTTTAACGCTGTGATTAGGGTGCATTGTTTGGGGTTGTTCAGGGTTTTTTGGTTTTTTCTTAAATCACTAGTACAGCTAAATGCATGTATATGTAGTGTTCCACTGAAATTTCATCCTCGTTTTTAACAAAAATAATTGCGTTTTAATGCAATAAATACTGCAATGAGGACTCGCTAATTCAATTACATTTTCAAAAAATTAGAAAACAAGAAGCTGATTCTGTTCTGAATACAGCACTTAAACCTAGCAAAGTCTGCACTTCCGAAGGCCCCTGCTTCTAAGCTGCTTTTAAAATAGTTCGAGTGAGCAGCCTTGGAAAATGAAATCCTTAACGTCAGGTTTTCTCCGTCACTCAGACTGAGTAAGTCTATCTAGTTGGCTGGTTAGTGTGGAATTCTGCTCACGCTGGAACTGCTGAGGGGGTGGGGGGAGAGGAAATCGCTGCATCATTTGTCTTCATGACAACCTCTTCAAAATTAAACTTTTTGAAATAATAAAAATAACATGCTTTTTCAGATGTTGTACATCAAATCAGTATTTGTCTCATCAACTTTAACCAAGCTGAAGACTGAGGAATGAGTGCAGTCACATACCTTTACTCACAGAATCTAGGAAGTCTCGTTTTTGTGTTTGCTCCCTGGAATAGTTCAGCAACTGTGCTGCACGTCTGCGTGCACTACGGCATTTTGCTGTGCAAGGTTCAAGTGTGAATACACAACCTTCTGAAAACTGCGGAGTAACCTACATTTTAAAAGTTATTTTGTAAACCTTGGACTCAAAGTAAGGAGCCCCACTATAGCTTTACTTTCAACTTAGTTTACCATTTAGTTATCCTTTCATAAAGGCATACAGGAATATTTTTACACTGAAAGTTGGAATTAAACCAATTCTCAACTCCTGTAAAGTGAAAGGCAGAGGATTATTGTCTAAGGAGAAAATGTGGTATCAGTTGATGTGTGTATGGTCTGTGACTGGAAACCAAAATCCATAAAGGTCCATTACACAAATGAAACTGCATCACTTTTGTATATTTCTGGATAATTTTTAAGTAAATTAAGGAATTAAACAAGTGTATTGGCTTAACAGTGCTTTAACATGTCAATCCTACTGCACTCTGCTACCAAGACTCCCTCCTTCTCTCACCTGTAAAATTCTTCTCTAATGCACCGACTGTCTAGCTGCTAAAGATGGTAAGTAGATGGGGAAGGAAAATAAAAAATAGTTCACAGCTCTGTGTTGAGAATTTACAGGAGAATGGCTTGAATACTAAAGTTTTGTAACAATTTATATGAGGAGCTGATGTGCAAACTCTTGAAAAGTAGTTTGATAGTACACCCTTTGAGTTACCAGAACTCAGGAAGCCACAGTAGATAATGGATCTAATTTATGTATTTGTTTATTTCTTTTGGACTGTGCTTAACCTATTCTTTTGACTGTTGATTATTTAAACCTTTGAAAAGTGTGACTATTAGCCTAGATGTATACGAGTACCATGGACCATAACTGGCCTAGGTTAGTCCTGTATGTTACGATACCGTTCCTGATACTGTGCTCCTCTTGAGTACGGTGGCTGAAGTTGCTCTCTCGTCTACGGACAAGGCGAAGTTTTCTCTTAAGGGTACACACGGGGTACTGATTACAAGGAATGATGTCTTCATACACAGACATAGTTGAAAGCAGCACATTGCCTCATTTAGCATTCCAAACCAAACTGAATCAGAACTTTGTTTTTTTAAAAGCACAAATTATGTTATTTATTGCTGGAACCCAACTATTTTTATATAATTCCAGAACTCTTACTGTGGACTTCCTATTGCTATTGGCAGTACTAACATTATTACTCAGTGAATAAATATAACTTTCAGATTCCAGGAGCCATACTCAAAAATAGTTCACAGAGGATGTGGAGAGTAAGTGCAAACTCTTAAGAACTCAAACACAAGCCGTAAGTAGACTAGACAACATAATAGTTCCATTTACCAAATTCTGCAAAGTTCTTCAGCTTCTGAGCCTTGTGAAGACAGTATGCTTACCACGCTTAGCCTCGTTTCATTGGAGGAGGGAGGAATGACTGCTGCAGCAATGAAAGCAGATTCAGTCCTCAACTTTCAGAAGCTGGGGAGGAAAAATTTCACTGATGAGAGACACTAACACAGCTTTCTCCCCTGCCCTGCTGTCTTTAGCACACAGCCAATACAATTCAGGGAAGACAATGCTTTTTCACACCTCTTTGCTCAAGTCTTTATAAAAAGCTGTTGACCTTCACATTCTAATAAAGCTTAAATGACCCATCAACAATGGAGGTAGCATTTCAAAAACCCTATAACCCATGCAGTAATATGCTGAGGTAGAAAGACTTCACTTCAGCCCATTAGCTTTGATTTTACCTATATTTTGCTGAGAACTGTACAACCTGTTCTCCGCCTACTCTCACCAACTTTGTTTTCTTGCTGGAGTTGCTACTGAAGAAATGTAAAATAAAGATTATTGACATAAGAGTTATTTCACCACAATTCTGGAGAAGTGCAATAAATTTATTCCACCCACACTCTTCCATGTGCTCTTGCTTGCAAAACCATTAATTATGTGCAGGAACAGAGAATGACTGTAGAGGACAGGAACGAATAATTCTCTAAGTTCGACACACGCCTCTTGAGTGGCAGAACAGCCTTCAAGACTCTTCTTACATGATGTAATTCTGCTGCTTGATGTAAAAACCTGGACACCTCCCTGGAATGTTCCTGGTCACTGTAGGTCAAACCCAAACTTACTCTGACCTGGGCACTCAAACACTCTGCATTTGAGATTGTCTTGTTTTCCAAAAGTCATTTAAGAGTGGGAAATCTAGGTGGTAAGCTATTTAAAAGCACATATTGTAAAATAAAATCCAGACATCTTTCTTACAAGGCTAGATGACCAGCATGGCTGATACATGCTTTTGTGCTACAGTAGCACCTCACAGTACCTGTCATCTGCCCAAGCTATAGAATACCAGAGTTAAGTCAAACAACACACTTCAGAAAAAAAATGGCACTTCAGGTATTACTGTAATTCTGTGTGGGAAAAATGCATTGTAATATTTCTAACACTCATCCAGATCCCTGCATTCTACTGTCACTAAAATGAGACAGACTTGTGACTGAATTAGGTAAGCAAGTTTTTAATGTGCAAGATATGCAGAAGAACACAGATGGCGATGTCATTTTATTCTAGACGCAATTTTGGACAAGCAGCACTACAAAAGTCCTTTCTGTTCTGACCTGTATGCACAGCTGTGGCTGCAAACTTCCATTTTGCCACCCTGTATCTGACAAAGCAATCAAAACATGGAGAATTACTAATTTTGGATTGTATTGTTTAAAGGGCTATAAGATGGTCATAGCTAACAGGAATGTGACAAGGCCACTGAGAGACCATTTTTTTGCTCAGGACACAGTATTACTGATAAACAAGCTGGTACTGCAAAAGTATAAAGATGCAGGGAACTGCATAATATAGCTGCTAAAAGAGGCAAACCCCACACCGCTCACCAATACATGATTTTGTAACAAAATGTAATTCTTGGGAGACGTCCTCAGCTGGTAGCAGGATCTAGCACGGTATAGGTGGGAGTACATAAGGTGCCAGCCCACTTGCTGCCTCTGAAAGAAGAGAAATTAATTGCTTTCTGAAGTCACAGACTAAACTGGGGAATAAAGTTTGGTAACTTTCAGACACTGCACTCAAATGAGGGGTGAGGTTCTACATGTAGAACTGCATGCTCTACATGCAGCTTACTATGGTATGATCAGGCTGAAACAGACTTTTTGGTACTGTCATTACTGGATCATAAACAAGTCTGTTACCTACTTAGCCATTTATAAATAAAGGCTATGCAGTGAAACAGGCAATATAAAATGACGTATGCCTAAAATGAGGTAAACAGTGTGCAAGCTGTGAACATCCTTCCCTTCTTTCTGCTCCTGAACAGATTTCCAATAAATCAGCTAGACTATACTATCTCAACAGTTTAAGCTGTGAACGCTGTTTACCAAAAAAGTGCAGTGCTTACATTTTTGTGGCAAGAATGTAAGTGGCTAAATGGGCCACATCTCAAAACAGAAAAATAATCATAGCATTTCCCTATGACAAGGAGATTTTAATCTGTTTGCTATCCCGTTTCTTAGCCTGCATGATTGTTTTCAGTATTTGTCTATTTTTCTCATCAATAGAATACTTAGTTTCTAGGATCCTAGGCCAGCTATATATATTTTAACTTCTTTTCTGTCTCTGTAGCAAAGTTTAGCACTGACCTGTTTCCTACAGTGCCTGAACCACTAGATGATGACTCCTCTAGGAATAACCTTGCTTGGTCTGCATCTCTTCTTAGAAGAACGTGTCTGTATTTGCTAATCACAATGACTTCACCTCTGCTATCTGGGTCTGAAAAAGCAGGTTTCGAGGAGTGTACTCTCTTCAGGTTACAGGCTGCTGCAAAGAGCTAAGAAAAGAAAAACAACCCACATTTTAATTAAGTCAACAATTACTTACACAGCTTGGTTTCTTACAACGATTAACACTCTCTGTGTATATGCTTATATACTTCTTTTCTTGATATTGAAAAGTGATGGACATACTCCAAACTCCTTAAAAGCGTAGTTGTTACAAAGAAGGAACACACCGTCTTATTTTTCGGGGGTGAGGGTGGGGTGGTGTCAAACTATGCCCAAAGCTTTGGATTCCAGTCCAAACTGCTGTAAAATCCAGGCTTGATAGCAGGCTCTTAATCAGCACATGTTCTGATGCTTAGCTTTATCAAATGTAGGGCTAGGACCAAAACACTTCAAATTCCCCACTTGTATTATTGGTCC